AGAAGCTTGCAATTAAACCAATGCCACAACAATATTTCATGACCGACTTTCCACTAATCTCGGCATGATCCAAGTGAATTCATCATAAGTTAGCCACCGAGATTGATAAGAACTTCATTCACAGATTACGTTTCGGCGGCAGGTCAGCTTCTGCTTCGCAATCCTGAGAATGATCTCCCGTGATTTGAAAAGGTAACCCAATAAATCACGAATATTTATTCAACTTACAGGCTTCAAAGAAAACGATTCCGCCAAAAAGCAGACTGTGAGTAAAGTTCTTATCAATCTCGGCGGCTTAGTAATACAAGACGAATTTACTTAGAATGGGCAAGTCTTTTCGGATATTTGCATCTTTTTGGAATGGATCTTTTTACTTTAATGAGGCACATTTTTTCATCGAAAATCGTGAAGTGCTCGGGGTGAATCAATCCGGCCTTGAGATGTCCCACGCATAACATTTTCGAAAAGAATCGAAGTGGCACTCGAAAACGTGTGTGAGCTGCACCGGAGAGACCATGTACGGAAGCCACTGTCATCATTGACACTATTATAATACTTTATTTTCGAGTCGCACAGCCCAGTTGACAAGGTCTAAGGTACTGAACATTGACCAACCCCTGATTGAACCTAACGCACTCTTACCAAGTCTTTTCTTGATCTGTTGATTATCCTCCCCATGTCTAACTGGTAAGTGTATTCGTTGGTTTGTCGGTGTGTCTGTATGTGTCAGTGGGCGTTTGACCGAAAATTGTAGGCGTTAGGCGCATGTGCCCCATGTTGGGGACTCAATTTCGAAAATTTGTTGTCAGAAATCAATCGTTTGTTGCGAAAGAGAAATGGATTGTTTGCCTGTACTTTGATTCTGTCAAAGAAGGAAGGTAAGACGGTCGTAAACCTAGTGATCTGACTGGTCCCTTTTATAAGTGAGTCATCAACTTTTCGGTGTTTTGCCAATTTGTCGGTCTGACGTTATGACGGTAGGCCTGTCTGTTCGCAAAACTCCATGATTACGATGAATGCAACGGTATGCGAGCTCACCGCAAACCGATGTAGTAGTACTCACTGGGGAAGCTCGAATGATAATGTTGCCAAAAGCGTTTTCAAGGCATAGATCATAAAAATTGTGCACCTTTCCAGGATACGCATTTCAGTTATCCTGAAGCGATTATCATCGAGCTTGTGCGTGAACATGAATTGGTAGGGAATATGCGTTGAGCATTTAGCGAGAACTTACAATTTGATTGGTAATTCACTGGAAGGACACAAATTAAAAATGATCATCGATTTCCTACCGCTCATACTATTTTGCAAGCTGTGAGTTAGAGCACGGGTACGTGATGGTCCTCATTTATGTTATCCGCCCTTGTAGCGTGTTCGAGAGTGGATTCTCCTTTTTCTATTGAAGGGGAACACAAGCAATATGAGTTCAGGGAGACGCACAAACGCTGACTTCAGATCTGCAAGGCGACGAAAACGAAATTGTATCTCCTCTGTAACATGCGATCTTAGAGGTCGATGAGCATTCTTAACATGTTCATTTTGCTTGCCACAAAGCGCAGGTAATTGTTTGTGAGACAGTTGTATGCCTCAAACTGCTTGCCCACATCTCTTCTCTACCTTTAATGGCCATTATCAACATATTCAAGGCAATCATAGAGGTGGATCTTTGAAACCTTCCACTGTTTTTTTAGTAGTCGGATAATGGGAGTGGATTGACCTGACTGATAAGAGCGGCTTTTAAAGTTAGCTCTGTTCTGTATTTTGAGGCCAGAATTGCGCATTACTGCTGGATTGATTTGCGCATCGGTTCTGGCCGACTGGCCTACTAGTGCTCGACTTACTGTCCCATTTGCACAGCAAAATCTTCTTCCATTAACTAAGCAATCCTTTTGAAGATTCGAAATTTAGATTCAAAAACACATTCTGAGGTATGCATCACTGCTTAGATGGCCATGGCAATCTGCATAAGTAGTATTCCTGTAAGTCATGAAGGGAGTTGAATACTCTTCGAATTTCCTGTAATAATTTAAATGTAAGGGAAGCACTCGATGAACGAAGGTGAGAAAGCCTGAGCCAGCCTTCCAGATACAAAGAGTAGCGAACAACTATGTATCTCATTTATAAGCAGTTACTTGATGTGTCGGTTTGTAGGTTTGCCGGTTTGTCAGCATGTCGGCTTGTCGGTTTGTCTGTCTGTCCTTTCAGGAACATTATGATTACGATAAAGGTAATGGATGGAAAACCCAGCTCTAACCCCCACTTTCGTTTTAAACATAAAGAATAACTTGGTGGGTAGGTTGATGGAGTAGAGTGCGTACAGCGTAGTGAAGTGAGTAATATTAAGTGGAGACTTCAAAACCACATATAATTTCGATCTGCCCTGACATCGTGCTATGTGTCGGAAACACAGCACAAAACAAAAATCGGAGATGATAATGCAGTTGAGAGACATCCGCTTTTTTAAACTCGAGCGCTAAAGCGAAGATAAAAAAAGTTAGCCCATAATTGTGCTGAAGACATTTTTCGAAAACATACAGTTTTTTGACCTGAGGTTCAGGAGGGAAGGAGCACCGGGGTGATGAGTCGAGAGAATATTCAACTCATACCCCATCCTAACTTTTTGCACGAGATAATCTTCTCACCCTCACCCCCCTAANGCTATTTTGAGGTGAAGGTTGACCACTCAGTTTCTCAACGGAGAAATCGTGGAAACGATAACCCTGTACGATTCCATGTTGATCCCCACCAGTTTCTTTCAAATGCNCCATAATTGTGCTGAAGACATTTTTCGAAAACATACAGTTTTTTGACCTGAGGTTCAGGAGGGAAGGAGCACCGGGGTGATGAGTCGAGAGAATATTCAACTCATACCCCATCCTAACTTTTTGCACGAGATAATCTTCTCACCCTCACCCCCCTAACTACATTTTCTATTTACTTTTATAAGTGAGGGATGAGGCCTGGCGCAAGCCGGATGACCCGACCTGTCTGATGAAGAAAGCAGAGTTCTACATCAGGTAAGAGCACTGAAGTATCGCTTGTTTATCCGCATGCTCTTCCGATTATCATGATGTTCGAGGTAATTGAGGCATGCCGTACCCAACCATATAACTATTGAGATATTCTGGTGAGATGTCTATGGGATTACCAGGAAATTAGAATTATAACGACGCTTTTTTTTTTGCTGTCACACTCGTATGGTCCGTAATAAAATACGTGTAATGCAATGTGTGTATGTAACTCGACAAGTATGGTTAGGATCAGATTCATGTTCCCTATTTGAAAAGACGCTAGTAGACGCTATCAAAACACGAGTAGCTCATCTGTCCCCATTAGGGAGGTTCTCAATCGATGAAACTAGAGTCCAAGGTGCATGATGAGAGGTTATGTGGGCACAATCTTCCATGTGTGTCACGTCCGCGTCTTTCGAACACGTTTTGCGAGAATCGTTGTTCCTCCTCTAGAGCCTCGTGAAAAGAATGAAGTTTTTTTCGTTTTTGATGGGAATTTCTTCCTGAGTGTGGTCGTGCCCTAACACTTTTTGGTTTCACTGGGAGCAGGTTCCCGTCAGAAGGCCTTTCATCCACAATGATTAGAGCAATAAATACCTGTGACAAGAATGTGGCATGTGAAAGCGATCGCTGAGAACTTGCACGTTGTCACTCTGAATAGAATAATACAGACAAAGGTAAGTATGGAATGATGATATGGAATGACAAGTTCGCCCAAAGCCATTATTTTGCTTTTGCTATATAACACATCAATATGTTCGAATGAGTACATAAGGCTATTTTGAGGTGAAGGTTGACCACTCAGTTTCTCAAAAGAGAAATCGTGGAAACGATACCCTGTGCGATTCCATGTTGATCCCCACCAGTTTCTTTCAAATGCTTTGTCCACCACGCATCTGAGATTTCAGGCGCAGCTTTCTGAGAAAAAAAACAGGCTATCTTTTCTTTTGACTAAATATGCGTGAAAATTTTATTATAAATGGAACATGAATGAAATACCACGTGACCGTATGAAAATTTTTGGTGAGAACCTCAGAAACGTACAGATTCTTTTTCTTACCCTATTCGTCAACTACCCGAAAGTGATCTTTCTAGTCTGCCATAAATGTATTGGGGTCGTTGTGACCTTGTGTTGAACTCTGATACGAAACATACCAAACCTATTAATATCACTTTAATTTAAGTTATGCAATGCAATTTCCTATTGTGTCCGTTGATCGGAGTGTCTAGTTACGGAAATTTTTATTCCCAAATGAAGGAATATTGAAGTATGGTCGCCCAGGTTTCCCAGATTATTTCGACGTCGGTAGACTTTTTTCGTAGTCGAGTGGCTCCAGAAAAGGCGAATGTGAAACGAATTGTTCCCACTTTTTCAAGGAACACACCAAGGTCTCCTCTTACATCGAAGACGTTGCCCTTACATGTTCGCTAACATTCTGAAAAATAGCTCAACTATCGTAGCAAAAAGAAAACGACAAAGGGAATGCAGCGAAATAGGGCCAAAAGGACGACATATGAGAAGGATTTCGTTACGTGAATGTTTAGACAATGAAAAGCAGATTGGATGAGTAGAAACTAAAATCGGGCGTCAATCAATTCTTCTGAGGGATACGCCCTGCATTCTACCTCCATCCAGAATCGTAGTGGCGTCTACAAATTAACCGACAATACAGGGATGGAAGGCTTGGTTGGCATAGGCGGATTTCGATCCGGGATTTTAAACCGTGAACATGCGTGTGTAACAGTGTGACACTTGCCACTACTTCATCTCCGATCCGAGTAGGAACTATGAAATAATTAAGGATATGATTGTCAAGGTGGGTAGCGGTATGCATTAAGACCGAGAAGTTCGCCTCAAAATTATACTTTTTGTCAGAGTACACTGAGTATTCAATTAAATTCTCCATCCAGTGTAAACATCCTAATCAGTGATTATAAAAGCCCAGCAAGTTAGTAAGGTCACTAGTACAACCGGCTCATTTCTTCGGAATGAACAATCGCCCTTACATCGAAAGTGTCTATTATACAGCCGAACGCAAGAAGCAGGTCAGCACACCTTGCTCCTATGACTCAACACAGGCAAGTAATAGATGCTGGCTAACAGGTAGTTCTTGCCAACCTCACCTTTTCCAGTTGGATACAGTAACAAATGAGCGAGTTGTTCCTTCAAGCAGCATTCCGGATCACTATTTAGCTCCGAAACGGACAAATGGCAAACGTAAGAAGATCGTAGTACAGTTATATAATTCCTTCATGTAACCAAACAAGAATTCCAGCTCTTATTGAATCATCCTACTGCCTCAGCTCGGCTTCGGTCAATCACTTTATGGAAAAACAGAGGATGACGGGATTTAGCTACGATGCAGAGATATTGGGAACGACTTCTACGGAACAAGAGATGCTCGACGATCAGGTTAGTTGATGATGTTGAGACTGAACACAAGATCATACAAAGGCAGTGAAAGCTTTGGGGAACTTGCTCCACCACAACATATTCTACTATCTGGTTGAATCATGCAGCTTTTTAGTGTCGGTTTGAGATTTATTTCACGTTGAACTAGTTATAAATTATTGTAGGTGGAGTTCTCCTCTGTGAATGCTTCAACTGATTGAATGAGCAGATGCATCACATCTTGTTCTCGAAAATAAAAGTGACTGGCCTACTTTACGAATTCACTATGTAGTGTTTAAGCCCAACCTCACAAACGTGTTCACCCCACAGGGTCTCGTAAGCATTGCTCAGTTAGAGTGTCAGTGTTGCGACTCGGCTGTACGGAGCATCACTCGACAATCGGCCCTTTGCTGCTTTAATAGCGGTCTATGCAACAACGGACTGTGTCTATCGTTGAAACCTCTTCTATGATATTTAACCCTCTACAGGGTGCGCCATAAATATGGTAACAAAAGAACTGGGCTCCAAAAACCCCAGTAAATATTGATACATCGTGAATTTATGTGAGTTATTTACTATGCATCACGCCTACAAAATGAACACACGGTCATCCTATATATCCTTCTCCTCTACTAATTATAGCTCAAAGGTGCTTCGGCTACTCATCGATGGCGGCACGCAGAGTTTCTCGAGAAACTCCAGCCTGGGATATTCTGAACGGTTTCTTTTGGGAAGCAACATTGGTGCGTTATGAAGCGCAGGGTTTCGTCTCCAGTATGAACCATAGCCAGCAACCCATCACTTTGTGGTCCAGGAAATTCGCAGGAGAATTGGAAGCTGGGATAAAGTTGCGAACACTCTCTCAGCGCCAGTCTTATCTTTTTGCATTCGTGATCAGGTGCGCCACAGTTTTCAGATCGTATCCCTGAGGATATTTTTGACCCTGGGCTGCTTCCTTTCAGAGAACCTCTTTTTAAAGAGGTTCGGAATAATTTTTGTGCTTTTCTCGACTAAAACGTGCCATATCTCTCTGATGGTAGAGTTTCTAGCAAAAACTATCATTAAAGAGGGAAAATGGCTATGAGAGGCGATCTAGNTTTGCAGAGTATTCCTTTCCAGCTAATTCTATTCGGAAAAAGGGTTGTATGTGAAGCAAGACCACCGACCTAAGGTTTAGCCCGACCTGTCTACGCATCGCGATTCAAGTGACAGTCAGTTGTGAAAATGTTGAGACGAGGAGCGATTCCAGAAAGGGACCCTCCAAATGCGCGCAAAGACAGAACGGCTGGTAGATGTCTGCGAGGATCCACCGTTTTTCGAAATCTGACGAATTGATAGCACCAAAGTAGATATGTAGTCTAATGTAAATCGTTAATATAAGTGAAGGTGCAGATTTGGAGAAACCTTCCAAACAAAAAAATTTCGGACGTTCGAAAAGTTGTTACCATATTTATGGCGCACCCTGTAATGTATGGCCTGGGCGGAAGTGGTGTAGTAGCAAGTGGTGCACTATATCACACGCACGGTCAGGGGTTCGAATACCGGATCGATATCCCTCAGGGCCAACCAAGCCTTCGTCCTCCGAGGGTCGGTGAATTGGTACCAGACTCGTCTGGGAAGATAAAAGTACTGACTCGTACATCGGCTGGCCACCGCAAGTCATTGTATAGACCACATACGAACTCATTACGCCACTACGATTTTGAATGGAAGTCGAGTGCGGGGGCGCATCCCTCAGAC